GCAGCTGGGGGAAAGAAGGCCTACTCTTGCACGAATTTCGTGCATCGGGGCTCTAGTTTTAAATAATAATTAAGAACTCAAAGAATTATGGATGGACTAGAGAGGTGAGAGCCTGTAAGCAAGGCAGCACGACTCCTCCAAGGTCGCAGGACCCCTCATGCCTGCATGTGTAAGCACACCCACGCACACACATGTAAGCATGCACACACATGTGTAAGCACACACACATGTAAGCACATGCACACGCACCGTATATGTAACCACCTCCCCACCTAATGGAAAGTTGTAAGCACATACACACACACCGTATATGTAACCACCTCCCCACCTAATGGAAAGTTCTACTTCCTCCTTTCTTTCTGAGACAAAGCAGGGCACCAGGCCCTGTTCTCGGAAGCTACAGGTACGAGCAGAAACCCAGCCCTTGCTGGCCGGAGAAGGCCCTGAGCCCTGTGGCCCCCACTCTCAGCCTGGTCCAGGGTCAGCACTGCAGTAAGAACAAAAATACTTAAAAAGAAATAAAGTATTTTACTCAAACACACAAACACACTCTGAACCCCAGCTGGGAGCTGGTAGAACAGTTCGCGTCGTAGACCTGTCTGTCGTCCAGGGTCCTCCGGGCCCGGCTTCCTGAAGAGCGTGTCCCCAGGAGCCACAGCGCCCAGCCCCTCTCCGGGGCAGCATGGGGGCTGGGCCTGGATCAGAGGCGAGGAAGCCGATGTCCAGGGACGGGCCCGGCTGCCTCGGGCTGGAGGGACCGGCTGCGGTCACAGGCCTCTGCTCCAGGTCAGCGCCGGCATCCTCCTCTCCCCACCTCCCAGCCCCACTTCGGAGATTGAGGGAGGTGAGAGGCTCTGCTGGCTGGTCCTCCATCTCCAGAGTCCTGGGGATTCAGCTCAGTCTGTGGGGGGCCGGAGGCAGGGGTGCAGGTAGCGACCGGTGCTCAGCCCGCAGGGGTGCACGTTGGGGTGACCAGTGGATGGCCCCTGCCTCTACACCCCAGTCTGCTCTTTAATCCAGTCCCGAAAAATCGGGAGCCTCGTGTACACGCCTGGCTTGTCCCTCTGAGCGCAGCCTTCGCCCCAGCTCACCACGCCGGCCTGGAAGATCCGCCCATCCGCCTCCACGCTGGACAGGGGGCCCCCGGAATCGCCCTGAGGAGAGACAAGTCCTGAGTGTCCTGCCCACCTTCCCAGGCCCACCCCGCCCGGCGCCCAGCACCCACCTGGCAGGCATCCACGCCCCCGCTCAGGTAGCCCACGCACATCATGCGCGGGGTGATCTGCTGCGGCAACAGCTTCTCGCAGGTCGTCTGGTTGATGATGCGGATCTCGCCCTTCTGCAGGATCAGCACCACGGTGCCTGGCGAGAGGGCAGGGCGGGCTGAGCTGGGTGGGCAGGCGGGCTCCTGGGGCCACGCCACATGGGGACGGCACCCTCCAAGGTGCTCCCGCAGCAATAACTAGACTAACAACATTCTGAACACAACCCAAGCCTGAGGCGGACAAACGGCTAAGTAACTGATGACGCATCTGCCGTCGGCGATTGTGCAGCCACGTAAGCCATTAGGTGGCAGGCCCCAAAAGACCCCCTATACACCACGGAACAGCTGTGAGAATAAGGAACAGAAAGCGGCCCTGGCAGTTTGCTCAGTGGTTAGAGCGCTGGCCCTTGGACCGAAGGGTCGCGGGTTCGATTCCCAGTCAAGGGCATGTACCTTGGTTGCAGGTTCCCCAGGTAGGCGTGCATGCGGGAGGCAACCAATCGATGTGTCTCTTTCACATCGATGTTTCTCTCTCTCTCTCTCCCTCTCTCTCTTTCTCTCTCCTCCCCTCATCCCTCCCTTCCACTCTCTCTAGAAATCAATGGGAAATATATCCTCAGGTGAGGATTAAAAAAAAAAAAAGGAGGAAGAAAGCACCATAAAATGCCTTAAGTCAGGTTATTTTTCTTTCCTCTCCATAGTCTACAGGTTCCAGAAGTGTAGTATAGCAGATCAAAACTGAGTGCTTCAATACAACATTTACCAATTAAGGGCCCTCATGGAGGCAGAAGGAGAGAGGAGGCCGGGCTCCCACCACTGGTCCCCGATACAGGCACCGCTCCACAGGCCCCTAAATCACACTGTTTCCACACAGTGCTCTTATGTTCACTGATACCCTTTATCTTCATTTTACAGGCGAATAAACAGGCTCAGAGTTTAAGCAACTCGCCAAAGTCATGCGACCAGGATGTCCATCCAGAGCCCGGCCTCCCAGTCCTCTAAACCTCCCCCCCGCAAAACCCTCCCCTCACTCTGGACAGTCTGGTCCTACCAGGGGAGGGAGGCGGGGCAGGCCAGCTCACCTCCCTCATAGGTGTGGCCCCAGCCGGTGACCCAGATGGCCTTGCCCGTGGGGAAGTCGTGCGAGGTGTCGGGCAGGCAGATGGGCCGCACGGTGTTGCTGTACTCGACCGGCCGCTCCAGCTCCAGCAGCGCGATGTCGTAGTCGAAGGTGAAGTCGTTGAAGGAAGGGTGGCTGATGATGCGCTTCAGGCCGAGCTCCTGCACCCCCGAGGCGCTGCGCTTGCTCTGGTCGTGTAGGCCCAGGAAGGCCTTCCACATGGTGTGGTCGGAGTACCTGCAGAGGGAGCCAGAGAGCACCCCGTGAGCCACCTGCCACTCACCTGCCACTCACCTGTCACACACTGTGAGGGGAGTGTGGCTCCTGCTTGGCCACCGCCCTCAACTGGAAACTAGGTGCCTCCTACCACCTCACTCAACCCCCAATCCCTCTTTTAATTCATTTTTTATCTGTTTACCAAAAAATACCTTATTATATCTTACTAATCTCATCTTTCACAGAAGGAATAACACAGAACTCAATCCAAATGCTTTTCTAACACAGTGGCGTCTACTCTAGGTACCAATAGACTTGAAAAATGCATTGAACTTGACCTATCGGGTTTGCTGCTGGTAGCAGGATCGAGGTAGCAATTCTGGAAGTGTCTCGTGTTTACTAGAGGGCTGAACACATAAGGACAAGACACTGATGTTGGGGGGCCAAATTCTGACGTGGGAAAAGGGGGCCACAAATCAGGAGGGGGCAGAGGAAGAGCCCTGTGCTGCTGACACACAGGGTAGCAGTACACACTCCTGATTTTTCCACAAACGCACCCTAAAAGCAGTAACATCCCCAATACCAGCCAGAACTTGGTTTCTAAATATCCTTCTCCATTCAAAGGAACCAAGGCTCCCTGGAGAAATGGCTGTTTTCCGGTCTGGAGCAAGGAAACAATGAAGCCAGCCTAGACCGTGTATTTAACGGAAGTGAGTGGGGTCTCAAACAACGATGAGCCAGCAGGGCAAGGCGCTCACGGGCCAAACTCAGGAACCTCTGAACGCGCACATACACCACAGGCTTCGTTACTGCACACGCTGAATAACAGAGAAGGGGGAACGGAAACCCATGAGTTCATCCTGAGTCTAAAAAATCATTCCAAAAAATTAATGAGGAGGAGGAAAGGTATGCTTTACAGAAAAACCAGCTAATAAATACAGGAGAAAGGGTGATAAGTTGCACCCACCACAGCAGTAACCAACACATGCAAGAATCATTGAGGAGCCCAGCTAGCGTGGCTCAGCAGTTGAGCATCGACCTATGAACCAGAAGGTCACTGTTCAACTCCCGGTCAGGGCACATGCCCGGGTTGTGGGCTCCATCCCCAGTGTGGGACATGCAGGAGGCAGCCGATCAATGTTTCTCTCTCATCATTGATGTTTCTATCTCTCTCTCCCTCCCCCTTCCTCTCTGAAATCAATAAATATACATATTTATTTTAAAAAGAATCATTAAGGAATGCTACAACCACTAGGTAAAAGATTGCTGGGGAACATGATATTCACACTGACTCAAAGTGTCATCCAAGATTATTTATTCACAGCCCCGGGGGGAAGTACCTCTAGGGTGGGGAAACCCAGGGACACCACCTTAACCACGTAAACCAACTTTCCTCCCAGTCGGATACCATCTGCTTTCTGAGGACACAATATTACCGAGGAGGCAGTGTTTCCTACAAAAACGTGTAACCGAACTCTAATCGAGAAACAACAATCAGAAAAACCCAAATTGAGAGACAGTCTATAAAATAACTGGGCGGGACTTTTAAAAAATGCAATGCCAACGTAGACCAAAAATTAAAGGCTTGGGGGAGCTGTTTCAGATTTAAAAGAGACCAAAGAAAACCAATGAGGCCTGGCCAGCGTGGCTCAGTGGTTGAGTGTTGACCTATGAACCAGGAGGTCACGGGTTCGATTCCCAGTCAGGGCACATGGCTGGGTTTCAGGTTCGATCCCCAGTGTGGGGCATGCCGAAGGCAGCCAGTCAATGATTCTCTCTCATCAGTGACGTTTCTATCTCTCTCTCCCTCTCCCTTCCCCTCTGAAATCAATAAAAAAATAGAAAATAAAATATAACGTGAAGTTTAAAACAAAATATGTGTGTGCATGGGCATGCGCGAAGAGATAAAACTAAAACAAATGTGGTAAAATTCAACAATTAGTGAAACAGATAAAGGATATGAGGGAGTCCACTGTACTTTTTATTCTTTCATGATACTCGCAACTTTGTTGTAGGTCTGAATTTTTTTTTTTCAAAATAAAAAACTGGGAAAATAGGTCTTTAAAACAGAAAACGCATATGATCTCAAACCTCTCAGGAAGTCAGGAGGCAACTCAACCCAGCCCTGCAGACTCACCCTCGGGTGCCTGTCAACCCGTCCCTTCCCAGAGCCCTGCCCAGAGCCAGGTCCGGCAGCCCTCTTTTGACTCAGCACCCACCCCACCCCCACCCTCCATTCCTGCCGCCCCTCCCTACGGAGTCTCACACCCAGACCTTTTGGCCTCTGGTTTCACTCTAATCTGTTGCTGCCAGATAACAGCTCCCTAAGGACCTTTTTGTCATACTCGACAACCTAACCTGAGTCCCCAGACCTACCCAGTCAGCCTCACCTCACCAACTGGCATTCCACATCCCCCACTAATTCTGCCTCACCCTTTCTAACTTCCCCCCATCATCCTCATAGTCAGCCATGTCCTCATCCATTCATCTATTTCTTTACTCAATAATTACTGGGCATCTCTGATGTTCTAGGAATTGCACTAGACCGAGTCTTTGAGTTCACAGTGAACGTGGGGAGGGACCAAGAACGGCCACGACACAGTGCACGAAGTGTCCCTCAGAGGGGTGGACAGACCCTACAGGAGAGCATGGAGTGGAAGCGGGAGGCGGGACAGGGAGCGGGTCATGGACCAGGCCTTGGAGACCTAATAGGACTTGGTCAGATCGACAGGTGGGGAGAAAGCAGCATATTCAGAGAGAGAGAGCAAAGAGGGCCCGGCGTGGCTCAGTGGTTGAGGGTCGACCTAGGAACCAGGAGGTCACGGTTCAATTCCCGGTCAGGGCACATGCCTGGGTTGCGGGCTTGATCCCCAGTGTGGGGTGTGCAGGAGGCAGCTGATCAATGATTCTCTCTCATCATTGATGTTTCTATCTCTGCCTCTCCCTTCCTCTCTGAAATCAATAAAATATACTTAAAAACAAAAACAGAGAGAGCAAAGGGAATGTGTAGGAGTTCAATTCCTCAGGGCACATGCCTGGGTTGCGGGCTTGATCCCCAGTGTGGGGTGTGCAGGAGGCAGCTGATCAATGATTCTCTCTCATCATTGATGTTTCTATCTCTGCCTCTCCCTTCCTCTCTGAAATCAATAAAATATACTTAAAAACAAAAACAGAGAGAGCAAAGGGAATGTGTAGGACGCCCCCCAAATTGAACATACGGACAGTGTGAGGCCAGGACAGGTGGCTGAGGTTGAAGAGACGGGATGGAGTGGCGTGTGGGTCACGCTGTGGCATTTCTATGCCACCCTGGGAGCCACGGCTGGCATATAAGGAAGGGTTGACAGGATCAGGGTAGCTCATTGGAAAGACGGCTCTGGCACTGGGGAGTACAGACTGGAAGTGCTCAGAGGAAGCGACAGATCAGGCAGGGCTGCTGCAGCCACCTGGGCCGGGGCGCCGAGGCGGAGGCCCTGTGAGTGGGAAAGGGCAGAGCAGCTCCCGGGATACGGAGGAGGCCAGGGCCTGCGGATGGAAGGATACGACAGGGTGGGGGAGGAGGGGAGTCCCCTGTCCCCTCTGGCTCCATCTTCCTGGGATCCCATCACCTGCCACGGACGTCCCTCTGTCAGCCCTGTGCTGCTGCGGAGCCCTGTGCCCCAAGACTCTCCACCCCTGCCCCAGCCAGGCCCACTCACCCAGCAACCCCAACTCCAGCCACAGCGTCTTCCCTCTAAGGCAGGGGTCCTCAAACTTTTTAAACAGGGGGCCAGTTCACTGTCCCTCAGACCGTTGGAGGGCCGGACTATAGTTTAAAAAAAAACTATGAACAAATTCCTATGCACACTGCACATATCTTATTTTGAAGTAAAAAAACAAAACGGGAACAAATACAATATTTGTATTTGTATGTGGCCCACGGGCCGTAGTTTGAGGACCCCTGCTCTAAAGACATGGTACCCAGCTGAGGACGGTCTTCATTGTCTGAGCCAACCTCGTCTCTACCTGTTTCAGGTGCACTCCTACCAGTAACAGAAGCCAGCCGGGAGGTGTGGCACCGAGATCCCGGTGACTGCCCTGGTGTGGGAGAGGACACTGGGGGAGGTCAACAGTCGGATGGGGCTGACCGCTCGCCAAGAATTCCTCTAGGTCCACAGGTTATGTCATTTTCTCTCCCGAAAAGCCCTTCCAGGTGGGGCCGCCCATTCTCAGATGAGGACTCACGCACAAAGAGGCTAAGTAACTTGCTCACCCAAGATCACAGAGCTAACAAGTCACAGATGATCCAAACCAGCAACCTAGGCCCTCAGCCACAACATGATACCTCCTCTTGGGAAGGACTGCGAGCATCTGAGACCTAGAAATGCGTCCGTAGTGACCGCGCTCCAGGTCCCTGCACTCTCCACACCTGCCTCTGCTCACAGCTCTCCCTCCGTCTCAGGTCTGGCTCCTGGTCCGGTGACAAACGCCCTCACATATCACACCCAGACCAGACGCCCCTGCCCACAAGGCATGCCTCACAGCCGCCCTCCCCAGACCTCGGGCAGAATTCTAGTCACTTCTGCCCACGGTGGAGTTGGAGTGAAGCTGACAGAATGGGAAGAGGAAGGACAGTCAGGTGCGCGAGGCCGCACTGCCCAGCAAGGCCCCAGGGACCACAGTGCCGACTCCATTCCCTCCACCCATGTGCCGTCTGACCATGCCCACATCTGCGCCTGGGAACTCCGTGGTGCCACAGGCCCTGTCCCTCGGGAATCCCATGGCTGCCCTCTCCCTGGCAGCCCAGGCTCCTCACGGAGCGTGTGGCGGAGCAGCACAAGCTCACAGGAAGGCCCCGAGCGTGGGAACCCCTGGAGCGTGGGAATGTCTGTGCCCTGTGCCCACAGCGCCAGGAGCAAGCTGTCCCCTAGACTCCCTCCTGAAGCCACTGGCCAGCCCGTCCTGAGACCCCAGCACAACCCTTCCTAGGGACCGTCCCGGTGCTGGGATCGAGGCTGACCCGGACCTGCGGTTACAACGTGCCGAGCACCTACTGTGCACAGACGCAGAGCCCAGCACTTCATGTTTAATCTTCACCATCTAAGGAAACGAACTCCCAGTGCCACTGAGAAGCCTGAGGCCTGGGAGTGTGAATACCTGCCCGTGGCCACCTGCCGGTCGCTGCTCGGCTGGTCTGAGCAAGTCCCGGGGAGCCCGTTAAGTGCAGCGACGTGCTTACCTCCCTGAACCTACGTTTCTGTAAAATGCCACGTGAGCAGACCTGCCTGACCGGGTCGCTAGGAAAACACTTAGGTCAGTGATGGCGAACCTTTTGAGCTCGGCGTGGCAGCATTTTGAAAAACCCTAACTGAACTCTGGTGCCGTGTCACATCTAGAAATTTTTTGATCTTTGCAACCATAGTAAAACAAAGGCTTATATTTTTGATATTTATTTTATATATTTAAATGCCATTTAACAAAGAAAAATCAACCAAAAAAATGAGTTCGCGTGTCACCTCTGACACGCGTGTCATAGGTTCGCCAACACTGACTTAGGTGGCGCTAGCCTGAGAGGGAGCCCCTACGAGACGCCTGTTTTCATTATTGCTGTGAGTAGCCGCATCCTGGGTGTCCGCGCCCTCCAGCCCGGCCCCGCCCCAGCGCCAGCGCCTGCCCACCTTCATGACTCAGACACAGGCCTTCCAGCCCCAGAACCCACGGGAGGGCCTCCCAGAGCCCCGTCACCCCCACCCCGTGGCTCACTTGAATCCTCGGTCGTCGACGAAGCAGTGCGCGGCGGACACCATCCAGCTGGGGGAGATGAGCGAGGCCCCGCACAGGTGGCCCTGGCCCAGCGCGTGCAGGCTCACCTGCCAGGGCCACTCGCCTTCTTC